ATAAAAAGATTGATCATTTTTTTTTAAATTCACTGAAATTTTGTGAAGAATCTTGCTTATATATTAACGTGTGTACGTAATCGTAAATAATTTTACATTTTTATAAAGCATTTTTTTAATGCTTTATATTTCTGTCGTCATCTGACCGACGGCTTAATGGAAGAACGTTGTAACACAACTTAAGAAGGAAGCAAACAATGTTGTCTTCCAATAATAAAATGTGTGCCAGACAAAAGATTAAAAAATGACCAGTGCAGAGACAAAGCACCATAACGAATATGAAAGTGTTTGTAGATAGATTAGGATAGATTAGGATAAGATAGATTAGATAAGATAAACTAGGATAAGATAGATTAGGATAAGATAGATAGATTAGATAGATAGATTAGATAAGATAGATTAGATAAGATAGATAGATAGATAGATAGAGTAGGATGAGATAGATTAGATAAGATAGATTAGGATAAGATAGATTAGATAGATAGATTAGGATAAGATAGATTAGGATAAGATAGATAGATTAGATAATATAAATTAGGATAAGATAGATTAGGATAAGATAGATTAGGATAAGATAGATTAGATAGATAGATAGATAGATAGATAGAGAAATAGATATATGGATATATATGTGTGTCTCTGTCTGTGAAAACGAAAGGAAAAAAACATATTTTAGTTTTTATCTTATTCTTTCTGTATTCCGTTATCCCTTTGAATCGGCCATGTTGAATATTTGTATCAAGTTTTTTTTATCAAATCAATCATTTGTATCCACAGTTTCTTTCTTTCTTTCTTTCTTTCAGGGTATCTTTGTCTTCGTTTTTCTCTGGGTATATCATTGCCTCTTTCTTTCAATATCACATTTTCTCTTTCCAATTTTGTTTCAGTGTATTATTTTCTTCTTTCTTTCAGCAGTAATACGCCACAATTTGTAAAAAAAATCTTCTTTATCATTTCAACATAAACAAAAATTAAATCGTCGAAACACACACAATGAAGTGTCAAAATAGCACAACAAGGAAAATTAATAAAATTTCTAGAAATGTTTTTGTTTCTTTTAAATTAGATACGAAGCAAAAACAATTAGCTTGAAATTTACAAATCTGAGCAGCAGAATGCGTGGAAAATAGAGATCAAGTCTTCAATAACAAATTCACAAATGGCGAAGCGAGTCAGTAATATAAAGAGGCGTCAAAATACAAAAATGGTTCTATCGAATAATATAAGCATTGAAAATGTCTCAGATGTTTTGCTTCATTAATGAAGTCGGCAAAAAAGCAAATAAATAAAATAAATATAATAAAAGAAGCGGTAAAAGAATAAAATCTTTACACTGAAAACGGGATGCAGGCGAGCGCCATATTTAGTTTAAACTGATGACACTTTAATCATAGCGGATGTTTACCGTGTGCCACATTGGAACTATATACCTATTAATATACCTATGAACTGGTACTGATTGCTCTTTATGATTGTATGGAAACTGGTGGATTGAGATCAAATTTCAACTAAGATTGTTCTTATTACTTTGCACTAATGACCTTAGGAAAGGCATAAATCCACTTCTCTCTCTGCTTCATTTACGTCAGAGACATATACACGCATAGTCAATACACACACGCGCACACACACACACACCTATATATATATAATATATATATATATATGGGAAAAGAGAGAGAGAGAGAGGAGAGAGAGAGAGAGAGCCTAAAAGGTAGAATATCTGATACAAAATATTAGTGATAGAGTTGACATATAAAATTATCACCTTTTGCGATCATCAACCAATCAAAAAAACATAAAACTCAGAGGACACTAACTTATAACCATACAACTGAGTATATATATATATATATATATATATATATATATATATATATATATATATATATATATATATATTTATAGTTTCCTTCTCTTAGGCTTGTTACGGCCCAAGGCTAGAGAAAACTGTCTGTCCTGCTATTTAACCCATAGCTGGATAGGAAAAGGTCAGATGGATATCAAAGTGGGTATAACAGATGAGCCTGGAATTTGAACTTGTCGATTTCCTTTTCCACGCCGTCATCACTTGCATTACCCGCATCGCCTTCAAATATATTTCGTAAAAAAAAATATTTTCCACTTTCTGAATTCTTTTTAGGAAACAATATCGTTATCTTTTTGTTTCACATTTCTCTGATATATTTCGAGCCACTTCATAATTCTCACCTCACAAAACTTCATCTTTCTCGGCAAAGAATTGCTACAGGCCTCTTCTGCAGTTTTTTAAAAAAATAAAAATCATTAAAAACAAAAATAAATGGTACACTTGTGAACATAAAAAATGATTATATATTCCCAGGCAGGTTTTGTAATTTTTCTTCTGGTCGTCAAAAGAAACAAAAGATAAAAGTCTGGAGTTGTAAGTTTATTATAACAGAATATCACTTCCTTTCTTTTAACTAATGCTAAGCACATTTAGTCAATCGCTTCCTGCTTTTACTTTAAATGGAAGTACAAATTGTTCGACTTAAACATTTGATTCCTTGAAAAAAAAGCTCGTAATAAATTCCCATCATACACACACACACACACACGCACACATACATAAAGACAGACACATTCTTTGTTGAAAATTAAACTTACTGCGACGAGAGGCGGTAAAACGAGAAATTTGTCACTACAATAAATCGACATTTTTTTCGCTTTTTATTCATACAGATGCCTAAAAGCAATGCGATCATCTTCCCTGCAATAATATCGAATTGTTCATGCCTTCCCTTTCACTTTTTAATCTTAAAGAATCTAGTATGCTCTGACTGATGAGATCTTTCTGTGTTTGTCCGTTGTTTTGCAGAGTGGTTAACAAAAAATTTGGTGAGACGTGTCTTGCGATAATATTTACAGAAATTGAAACCAGATCGATATAATTGTGCACTTGTCAATATTGAATTCATGCGAGGGCCTAAAAATGAGCGGGAAAATAAGAGTAGAGGATCAGCTGCAATGGAAAGGCGAATCAATTGCATTAAGATGATGAAAGATTTAGGGAAACAATGGTCGAAGAAAAGATATTGACACATCCATCGACCATTCTAGCAAATTCTAATTAGACTCTCTGGCCAATTCTATGGTAAAGGGAATATATTATATCAAACCTGCTGAAATGTCTTTAATTAGCGTTAAAAGAAAATTAGTTTTAATTCCACATAATTTTTCTATGTCTCCCAGTCTCTCTGCCCCTATCTCTCTTTCTACCTCTTTCAACATACATACATAAATAAGTAATAACAGATAGCCATTCGTATTCCAGGATACCCGTCTACTAAGGCGACTAGCCAATCCCTATTGAAGACTCTCGATCAGGCACATTTGTGTATGTTCAATACCCACAGAGCCCACCTGTGGTTTATACTGTAAATATTCTGAACAGACCTTAGTTACACCTTCTGGGAGAGAGCGTATTATCTAGCGTGATCAACAATCTGAACATGGTCAACACGCTCAAACCCTCTGCCACGATGACTTGTGGCTTCGTGCTAGTACAGCTACCGACGGTCCCCCATGTGTTCCGTCTACCCAATTTCACTCACAATGCTTGGGTCAACCCGTTGTATAGTTTTCAGGAACTTTCCAAAGTGCCACGCACACACACATACACACGCACGCACACACATAAATTCTCGATTAGATTTAAATCAGAAGAAATTCCGGGTCAGGCTATAGTACATTGATTTTCTCATTGTAAGGCTTGCCAGCGTGTTCGCGCAGCGTTACAATTTCCGTTCGCTTACTTGTAACGTCCATCACAGACGATGGCTGTAGGACAACGAATCGACAGTCAAGACAATAGTATCTGAGCATGATGAAAATCTGACGCAATCACGGATGACGCAATATTTTTCAAAGCCAAAAAAATTTCATCATACATCCCAAGAATATATTAATATTACTGCACACTCCTGCAAATGTCCGAATCTGAGAAAAAAATAGAAATTTATTACACCCTGTCACTCCAGTGGGTCTAAAACTTACTGCATGGTGAAAGAAAGAAAACTAAAGCAGTTGTTTCAGTTAAATTGCAGAAGGGTGTATATATCAAATTCGAAATTCTCTTTCTAATATGTCTTTATCATAAAAAGACCTAATGAGCGTTATCATAAAAATGTTTTTAATTAAAATGAAAGAAATACAAGTTGAAAATTAATAATCATTTCTGGTGCTGCTTTATGTGAAGAAAGAGAATGCTGATAAGTGAATTTTAAATGTTCACATCAAAACTGAATTCACATATATCAGAGACGTGTATATCAAACCGTGAAATGTTTCCTTGAACATTAAATACCCACTTAGAAGTGCGCACGAAATTTAGATGAAAATCTACGACAGCCTGTAAGTGCAATAATGTTACCAACGTTAGGGTTTTTAGTTTTTCATACTTTATTTTTCTCTATTAGCAGTATATTTATGAAGTTGAATAACTGCGCAAAAATTGCTTCGATTCGTCTCATGTTTACGTAAGAAAATGGAGAAATCAAAAGAGGAAGACAGTGAGAAGTGCATTAAAACGTCGTGTGTAAAGCAGCGGCAGCAGCCCGAAGCGATGTTCTACGAGATAAAATCAGATGAGAGGATTGCATCGGAATATTGCCCAAGAGATGGTTCAGGTTAGAATGCTAAGAAATCCAAACCGGGATGAAATGTTGGGAATACAAAGAGAAAACGAATGAGGTTTTGATGGAATAAAAAAAGAAAGGGAAAATTCTATGTTTATTAGAAGGAAAAAAAATATTTAAAGAAGGAGCAGAGACCATTTCAAAAGACGAGGGTTACATGGTTATAAGAAAGAAAAAATGGACGAAAGGGAGGGTGAGAGAAAGAAGTGGAAGAAAATTCTGGAAAGAAGTATCAAAAGAAAGTAAAATAAATTTCACAAGACGAAGAGTGTGAATAAAAGAAAGAGAGGAAGATAGAACGAATTTTCAAAAAGTAGGATCGAAAGAAAGAAAGAAAAAAAT